TAAATACAGTTTGGACTTCATTATTAACACAGTAGCCAACTATTGTCGCGGTGGCAAACTGCAGCAAGTGGTTCAATTCCATTCGCAATTACAGAAGGCAAAAAGGGAGGAAAAAAAAAAGGTCTTCGCTTCCATCCCGCTCTGCTTAAAAGCAGCTGAGCAGACAGTCCCCCACACCTGACCAGAGGGCAAAGAAGCAAACAGAGAAGAGCCAGTTTACCCCATCTCCATCAAAGGCAGCTCCAAAGTCATACTCTCCTGTCTTCATGGTCTGGACCAGGTCAGCAGCGTAGGTTAAGTTGGGGTCGGGATGGTGGCCACCGAAGTCCTCCAGTGGGGTGCAGTTCACTGCGGAATTTGCTGGGGCTCCGAGCTCCTCACACAGGATCTTTTTTACATAAGGACCCACAACTACCACGGCAAAACATGAAGAGGAAACGAGTCAGCCTCTCTTCTGAGGCAGCTCTGCATCAGCCACATAACCATCCAGGCCTCTGGTCTGCTCACTTTGGGTCAGTTTATCTGGTTTACTGTACTAAAGCACAAACGCTCGCATCGAAAGCCCAAAGCAGCACAGAGGTGTGCTTAAGCCTGATCCATCCAGGCACACAAGCTCCTGCCAAAGCAAGCCTTTCAGCTGAGGGGCTGTCCACTCACGGGACCACTCATGGGTTTAGAAGCAAGGATGAGCCTATGCCAGGGGCTCAACGCGTGAGCCAGGACCCCGCTGTGAAAGGATTATGTCCCAAGTGCGCGGAGGTATTAGCACGACAGCCCCATATAACAAAACAAAACGCATGTGCGATTCACAGCCATCCAGCAGAACAATGGGATTTACTGCTCTCAAATGCCAGTAATGTAGATAATAAAAAATGAGCGAGCACAGGAATGAGAATGGCCTGGAGACAAGAGAAACAAGATTCTAAGAAAGCGAGGGTGCTCCTGAAAATGTCTATTGAAAGAGACTCACAAGCTTGGCATATATATTCAATTATATAAAACAGTGTAATGGTCCCAGTTGTGTACTCAAATATCTACTGGCAGATCTTTGCCTAACTGCTGTGACCTCCACGGGACACTGACTGACGTAAAGTCTGCCAGGGCAGCTCGGATCACAGCATCAGCGCTAACCCCCTCTGTCCCTCAAGTGTGGATTGACACGTGTGAGCCACACAGCATCCCCTCTGAGCCCCCCCTGGTATCTCTGCCCTAGGCCAATTCCTGAGTCCAAACATTTGACAAAGGAAAATAATGTAAAGCCATAAAAAGCTTGCCTGCAAAAAGAAAAATGCAATATGTTACAAAACAAAAAACAAGTTTACAAGTGATGGATATAAATTCCAGAAAAAAAGCTTTTTCTCTGAAGTAGGTGGCAAAGCCCCGGGGACAGCTGGCCCCCTACAATGCCCAAACCCAAGTCCACCCGTACCTCCGTGCATAGCATCGATGCGAATCTTGAGGTGGTTCTTCCCTGAAAGCAGTTCCTTTAATGCATTGAAGTCAAAGATGTTCCTCAGCATGTTGGCATAAGCTTCTACCGAGTCCACAATTTCCACTGGGAAAAAAACAAACAAACAAACAAAAGTAAATAGAGACCAACTCTCGAGTCTCAAATCTTTGTGGAAAAGTAATTTTGCTACACATGGTACAGTGTAGCAAAAGGGCCAAGGCTCAGCATAAAGCCTTTAAGCATCCCATAGAATCATTTCATAAAGACAATAATAATGGTTCTATATTAAGAATTTAATCACAGGCTGTCACTGCTAATTGGGTTACAGACCAAACGGACTAACAGAATCCTTAAGACAAACTCCATTCCCAGCTACAGCTCCCTGGGCTTCTTTCAAGTGGGCTCAGTCCCACTTCGCTTACCTGGAGAGTGGGATTAAAAGAAAAGGGGAAAAAAAATATATATATATATATAAAAATAACCAATTCCATCAAATTCCACCAAAGTCAACAGGAACTGTTTACCTAACAGTTCGAAAAAATTGCACTTTTGCAACTAACAGGCAATATAAAGACAGAGGCATGAAAATTCCATTAATATAAAAGTCCCACTATACAGAAATGGGCACTGAGAGAAATACCAACATTTATAATCTTTTAAGTTAATTATTTGTTTTAATTACAAGCACAGGTCACCAGGAGATGGCAAAAAATTCTTGTAGTAAGTGTTTTTCAAAAGTCTTTTTTTAATTTATTTTCATACTTCACTGCTAATTGGCAAAAGTCTCATGTGAAATGTAATGGCTTTCCCACTCACAGAGAGAGCTTTCATATGTGAGACCATGAGGAAAAAAGATCAGTCACAAAGATTAAACACTAACACTATAATTTTTAATCGGAAAACGCACTTGAACTGCAAAGTTGTCTGTTTCCTCGGCACATGTTAATGGTAGCCTTACAGACAAAATAGTCTCTGATTTTAGCAAAATTTGATGGATCAGATTTACCTACTGAAGGTACAACCTTTTGTAGGACAGAAATAATGATATAATTAAAGAAAAAAAAAAGGCCCAGATGCCGGGGTGACCAGAAGCGATGTCCTTGCTTGGCTTATCCAACAGATGAGAAGGTGAGGTCAGAATGGCCACCTCTGTCATTCAGATACACCAGATGTCAAAGCCTGTTCATGGCAGGTCCATGCTAACTCCACCTGAAAGGAAACTCCAAGAGGAAGAACAGTCGTTTACCCGTAAATGGCTTAAATTTGTTCTCCAAGTCAAACTGCTGTTTCCCAATGGTGCTCAGGTCCACCTGGAGGTCTGGGCAGATTGCATACTCTTCAATTTTCTTGCTGATTTGGAAAATTTTATCCGTGATACCTTCAGGAGCAGGACCTGCAAGATAAAATGGGCCAGGGGGAAGACATTAAAGAATGAGACTGCAAGAGAAGTGCACTTCAGAAGCACAGTGAAAGACCTGGGGCTGGGAACATCTCCCTAGGAGAGGAATACCAGGGTATGAGGCAGCAGATCAACCACTTGCTCTGCTCAGGGAAACGCACTGCTCAGGGCAATGAACCTCTGTGATACTAAGACACTTCAATGAGGTTCCTCAGAGTCAACATAAGAAACAGCCAAACAGAAACAAAAAAAAAACAAGCAACCTTACCTCCATTGGCAGTATTGAATTTAATGCCAAAATCTCCATTGGGCCCACCCGGGTTGTGGCTGGCCGTCAGAATGATGCCACCGATGGCTTTGATTTTCCTGATGATGCAGGACACCGCCGGGGTGGAGAGAATGCCATTCTGCCCGATGACCAAGCGGCCGATCTGAAAATGAAAGAGCAAAACAAACTACTATGAGTCCCAAATCCTAAAACCAGCAACACTACCAAACCCCCCAGTTCTGGTGACTGGTAAACCAGAGCCTCCAGGAAAGGTGCTGCTTCTCCAAGCAAACAGCTTGCTCCTGGGAGGCTGCCGAAGCTCCCCACTGTGTATGGTAAGGATGAGCATCTGACCCTGCTCTGTTGTGCCTTTTTAGCATTTTCCTTTATGAATGTTGCAGCTCCACTGGAAATGGCAGCTTGCACTGAAGAGCTGAGCTTTCCAGAGGCATCTAAACAGCCAAAAAAAAAACCTCCAACCAACCAACCAACGCACCCTTTGGCTATGGTCTTGAACTTTGCTTTCAAAAGACACAATGGGACTGAGGGAAGCCAAAACGAAACAAAAAATCGAACATCGTCACTATTCCCATGGGACCAGCTGCAGATTATCTTACTCGCAGCGGGTAACACATCTCCTTCCCATAAACTGAGCAATATCACCGAGATTCAATCCAGACCAAGATGCTAAGCAATACAAGGTAATCAGGATCCGATTCCTGGAGTTCATGTAATAAAACAGAAGATGAATCTTTTTCTGGAAGAACATGCTCCTTACCATAGCCCACAAATGAGGTGACAGAGATTTAAAAAAAAAAATACCAGACTACTCTCCCTCAACCGAGGAGATTAGACCCTGTATACGACTGAGCAAAGAGGAGGAATTTCACTCAAACCCAAGCTAAACCAGAAAACAAAAGGCAGTGTTCCCAGACTGAAGCTCGGTGCTAAGCCAAGGGCACCGGATGGCTGCGATTCCTCTCCCGTGGCACTGCCGGGTGCTAAGCCCTGGCATCACTGCCCAGCAGTTATTACATGCTACAGCTGTCACAGACCAGCTAAAAGAACTGCACCTCTAGCAAACAACGAGCATAAACGTGAAACAGCAGTTTACAAACCCAAAGTGAACGCCCTTCTCTCAGCTGGTCACAGCAGCAAATATCACAGCCCTCGCGGTGCCTGTCAACTGGGCTGAGCGCGCTGGTTTATTACACACCACACATTTAATTTGAAGTAACCTGGTCTACGCAGGTTTTGCTTTCTTCCCCATTCAGTCCAAGTCAAAACACCTTGTCTCATATCTTATTCCAGCCTCCAAGTCTTGCTCCTTCCATTTCACCAAGAATTAATGAAGTCAGAGAATCATAGAATCACAGAATGGTTTGGGTTGGAAGGGACTTTAAAGCTTGCCTAGTTCCAACCCCCCTGCCATGGGCAGGGACACCCTCCACTACACCAGGTTGCTCAAAGCCTCATCCAACCTGGCCTTGAACACTTCCAGGGATGGGGCAGCCACAGCTTCTCTGGGCAACCTGTGCCAGTGCCTCACCACCCTCAGAGGGAAGGATTTCTTCCTTAGATCCAATATAAATCTCCCCTCTTTCAGTTTAAATCCATTGCCCCTTGTCCTATCACTACTTGTACAAAGTCCCTCTCCAGCTTTCCTGTAGGCCCCCTTTAGGTACTGGAAGACTGCTATAAGATCACCCTGGAGCCTTCTCTTCTCCAGGCTCGAAGTCTTCAGGAAGCTCCTCTCTAAAACCTCAACTTTAGTTTTTCATCTTCCCTCCAAGGGTCACATCCAGCCCTTCCACGTCGGCGCTCTGCGGGGCCTCGCACGCAGCTCGAGGGATGCTGCAGGGGACTGGCAAAACAAGGGACTTTCTCTCCCAAACCATGCAGCAGCTGCCGGAGAGCTGGGTAACACATCAAATCTGCTGTCCTTACCCTGCTCGTCCTCCTCGAATTCCTGAACTGCAGCTTTTGCCTGGGCATTGCTGCTCCCACAGCAAGGAAGGAAAAGAAGCAAAAAATTGTCTTTATACAAGCTGCTCTCTGATGTGGAGTCTTCCTTGGCTTTCAGAGGTTTTCAGCTGTCATTCCCCACTCATCAATGCTAAATCCTTTGTGGTAACCACTGGAAAAGGTTGCTCAGTGTAACAGCATGTGAATCTTTTCTAATCCTCTGGAATTTCTTACGAGAAAAATCTAAGGATGTAATGATGCAGAAATATCTTTCACAGAATGCTGCAAACAGACTGATTCACAAATGCACCCAACTCTGTGCCACGATTTTGGGTTACAGCACTTTGAAGCAATCCAGGCAACACTTCCACCACCCTGGTGTTGCCGAAAGCCCCACTAAGATGCACACGGGCAATAAAGGAGACCTCCCGTGGTCCTCCTCCTTCCCCCAGTAACGCGGGCTGATGCGTTCACACTGAAAACACGTTTTCCAGGCCAAGGATGCTGGTGCCTACAGCTCCATTGTGTCATCGGCGCACCCTTCCAGTCCTCTTTCTGTACAAGAGAGCCCTCACAAGAACAACCTCACCAGTCCCACACACTGTGCCACGGTTACAGTCTCTGAATAGAGACACTTCTACTTATACAAGTCGGGTTAAGTGAAGAAATTACCTTGGTCATTTCCTTTAGCCAAATAATCATCATTTAAAACATGCAATGTGATGCCACCGACGCAGCAAGTGTGTTTGGTGCGATTCACAAACTCTGCTGACCTCACTTTTGTAGAGGTAACAGTACGTGTCTCTGCCACACGCCGACAAAGAGATTTTTCCATACTCAAAACACAATACGCGTTCTTTGAGAACATCCGAGGACTCATCCCTTCTGTTCTGTAGAGCAAGACGAGCACAATGCTGATAGTCACAGATATCAGCCAACAAATAACAATAAACAATCAATGAAAAATAACAAAACCAGCAGTGAAACCAGATTTTAGCCAGACATGAGCCATGCTGCTGGGAAGAAATGCATGAGAAAAGCCTCAGCTGGTGAAGATCAGACTAATTTCATCTCTACCAGCAGAAAATGTGTCCTAGCATCAAGCAGTCCGAGCAGCAGGCCTGGCTCTTTGTGCACATTTTCCACCTCTTCTGCTCAGCCCATCTACCAACTTAAGAGGAATACATTAATCTGCATTGCCAAAGGATTTTTTTTTTCCAAAATACAAAATACATTATTTAAAAAAAAAAGTCTCACCTCCTATTCAACCTTTCATTACAAGTACCCTGTTGTGATCAGGTAAAGTTTTCTGTCGAAAAATTCCTATGAGCCAGGTCTCTTAGCATAAAGTTTTGCTCTGCACTAATTGATCCAGGACAGACAGCGGAGTTCTTTCTTCCTAAAAAGCCAAAGGAAAACCCCAGCACCCAGAGCCTTGCAGTGCACGAACCATGCTCTACCACAAGCAGACAAGCCGTCTGTTCTGCTTCCAAAATTCAGATTTCCAGCACAACCAGAGATGATTGCAAAGGCTGCCACTCACTCGCTAACTCTCATCTGATTTCAATTTTCAAAGGCTCCCAGAGGACTTATCACACAGCCACAACTTCAACCTGTTGAGAAGCAAACCACAGCCCTGTGTTTTGCCTTTCCACTCGCTGAGCAGCTCAGACCGATGCTGAGCGAGCTTCTGCCACACAGTGAGCCATGGCTCTACCAGTTATTTCACTGAATATCAGAGTTTTATGATCTGGTGGAGAGACTAGGAAATCCACAGGTGCCAACAGCTTGTGGCATGTCAAAATACAAAATGAGAACACGCAAAAACCCCGCAGTATTTCTTTTCTTTGCTGCATGTGTATTCCCACATAATTCTATCCAACTGCATCACTTAAAAGTGAAAAAAACAGTTAATTTCTGTACTACCAACTGTTTTTCCATTAAAAAGTTAACTATTGGCAATTGAATAAAGTCTGGGGAAATTAAATCTCACAGTGACTAATTTATTATGGTTTTCTGCATTTATCAGCTACACAACGACAGGAATTTAGTCATTTAACATTTACCAACCCCATTGGCAGCAGCCATTTGGACTATCAGTTCCACTGCAGACTTATTAAGGTATCTCCCATCACCTCCAACTACCATAGAAGATCCTTGTCGATCTCTTAGGTCTATGGAAAAAAATATACTCTGGATAAAATTCTGCAAATAGTTCCTCTTGGATTCAAAACAAAAGGTCTTCTTCCGTAATCCACTGGTTCCTGGTTTCTGATCGTTGTAAGGAGCTGTTGGCATGGTCAACAGAGGCAGAGGAGCGTCTTCCATGTTCGTTTGTCATACAAATGCATTTAAAAAATAAATTATGCCATAATACAAAAATCAATCTTGACACCAGCAATGGCCCACCTATTAGACAGAAGTTCAGTGAAGCTGCTGAGCACCCAAAAATAGCTCCTTGAACCTTGAGCTCAATGCAGTTTCTGTAACTGAAGACGTTTTCTTGCACTTGTTGTGGAGGATCAATGTCACGGAGAATACACAATTCCACGCTGCCGTCCCTCACTGAAACACTCGGAAAGGAATTCTGTCTTCTTTATCATCTTCTGTTTTCCACAGGTACAGCTCCGTGCCATTCGGTGCTATCACCCACCAGAGCCCAGCACCATCAATCCATCTGCTCCTCCCTCAGGGCAGGGGTGACGGGGGAGCAGCTCGGCCCTCCGCTCGGATGCACCGATGTGCTGCCCCAGCGCGGAGCCCAGCGTTTTCGCCAGCCATGCAGATCTGGACCGCAGTCCCCAGGAGGGAAGCCTCCAGCGGGCATGGCAGCGCTCTGCCGGAGTTATTTTGCAAAGTCTGATGAGTTAAAGGTCACTCTTAAAATGGAAGGCAACAGATCTGTTACCTACAGTTTACTGATACCACTCCTGCTCTGACAACCTGACTTCTCCATGGGCTCCTTCTCAAACACAGGGACGTTATCCACGACGAATAGTGGGTTCAGCCTGGAGAAGAGAAGGCTCCGGGGAGACCTTCTAGCACCTTCCAGTGCCTAAAGGGGCTACAAGAAAGCTGGAGAGGGGCTTTGGACAAGGGTGTGTAGTAATAATACCAGGCGCAACGGCTTTGAACTGAAAGAGGGGAGATTTAGATGAGATCGAAGGAAGAAATTTTTTACAGAGAGGGTGGTGAGGCACTGGAACAGGTTGACCAGAGAAGCTGTGGCTGCCCCATCCCTGGAAGTGTTCAAGGCCAGGTTGGATGAGGCTTTGAGCACCCTCGTGTAGTGGAAGATGTCCCTGCCTATGGCAGGGGGGTTGGAAATAGATGATCTTGAAGGTCCCTTCCAACCCAATCCATTCTATGATTCTGTGATAAAAACCCAGAATAGCTAAAAAGCCAGAAGAGCAATGTTTTCAACTGAACACCCACACAAGTGTCACCAAGGGTAATACATGTACCCAGAGTTATTGAAAACACAAAAAACTATCAAATGTTTTGGAAAACTGCACCTGATAAAGCTACTCATTTTGAAGACACTTAAACACATACAGAACAGACTCAGATACCAAGAAACGTTTATGAAGCATCATCTTGCTGAACATGGGGAAGGTAACTTTGAATGCTAGATTGAAATCGGAGTTTCCTCCAAACCTCTTCAATAACACTCGGAGTCCTCTGTCTGAGCTGCTGGAAACAATTTGGAGGTATTACTGGAGCAATTAAAGAACATACACTTTGTAATTATCCAGTTTGTTCCATGAGTAAAAAGTGAGGGGGAAAAGGAGATGTGTACACAGTTGAATTGTGACAATTTACGAAGGCGCTCATGGGACTGTTTCTTGAGGTGCTGATTCTGTCATTGCTCCAATAATTGACGGATTTTCTTCCAAGGGGTGAAGAGATCCTGTTATATGCATCAGTACATTAAAATCGAGCTGGATAACTTGTATAAGACTGAGGGAAAACCTCAGGACTGAAGGCAGAACACCACCTTCGAAGAGAAAGGCTCTACCTGACCTTCTGTGAATACATCAACCACGTCCCCAAGGGAGCCGAAGAGCCACGTGAGCTTCCCTAGAGAGGGAATTTAATTCCCAAGAGGAAGTTAATTCAGGTTTGCTCTCAGAAAGCGAAGCTATTTGAGCCATCTGTGGGAACCCCGAAGGCTGCTGAGCCTCACAGCTGCCCACCCAGGCATGCCCAAGGGGCAACCACTGGCTTAGACAAAAGCCGGGACATCGCAAGGTGCTGGCCTGAACACGCCGCACGGGAACCAAGCTGCCTGATCCACCCAGAGCCCTCTTGTCTCAGTGCTCTGGAAGCATTTTAAATGGGCTCAAAATTTTGTTCCTTAATTCCTCTTTTTTCCCCACTCAACCACACTGAGGCATGTGCACTGCAGAAGTAGGACAACACGTATCTTACACCAACAGCGAGACTGCAGCTAGCAACAACTGGTTTGTGTTTTACACATCCGTGCCATTTCAGCATCCTGCAGCTGAGATGCCCTCTATTTTCATGCAAAGGCACAGGTTTCCCTCTAGTGGCACAGAAAACAAAATCCAGTCCCCAAAATGAGCTATGGAGAGCCTCACTCCGGACAGTCTCCTGGCAGGAAAAGGCCTAAGCAAGCTCTTTCGTTCTTATTCCCGGCGAGATAAACCTACTGCCCTGCGAAATGCCATGGCATTAAGTGACAGGAGGAGGGCACAGGCCACCTACCAGCTTCAGAGGCTGAAGGGAGGAGCTGCACGTGGACTTACTGGCAGAGGAAAGGCCTATGCAGGGTTAGGAATTCGTGCGTGTAATTAAGTGCACGTGTATTGGAGAGAGGAATCAAACTAATTTAAGCCGGAGAGGAAGGTGTTGGTCATTAGTGCCACACTCATGTACATAAATGAAACACGTTCTGTCAAACGAAATACAAAATTCATGAGCTAGTGCATATAAAGCACAGGGACAAGAACGGCATATCCACCAATCCCACCTCTGGAGTGCTCACCTGGACCCAGGGCTCTCCTGTAACTGCGCGTCACTGTTTGGGATAAACTAAATCACCAGTAATTGGCCAACCAGGACTGGTACAGAGGTTGGTGACCACACGGTTGCCAGAAGAGTTAGAGGTTAAACAAGCTCACCAAAGGTGGACCCTGACCACCCTAAGGACTGGAGCAGAGAGACTGGGAAGGGGTCGTTTGGTCTGTGATCTGGGAGGCTTTGCTTGGATGACTGTGATCATCACAGATCATTCACAGGCTGGAAAGGAATTCAGCAGGTCACCTGCTCCCTCCCCAGAGCTGGTGCAGGATCAAATACACCTAGGCCATCCTCCAAAAAGTCCATGTAACTTGTTCTTGAAATCTTTTTCTCCAGGTAAGCCATGCCAGTGCATAACTGGCCTTGCAGTTAGAAGTGTTTTCCTACAATCTGCTGTATGTCTTCCTTGCTGTGGTTTTAAGTCTTCCTGAGCTGACACAGAAAATAAATTGATTATAATCCTTTCCTGACAACTTCTCACAGATTAAAAAAATCCTTTAGCATATAGACTCTGAGTGCCCTCTCTTTGCTAGCATAAACAACCCCAATCTCCTTAACTTTTCCTTGTGGTCATATTTCCTAGGTCACTTATTTCTCATGGCAGTCAGTGGCTGGTGAGGGTATTTCCCCCTCCAAACACCTGATCTGCCGCAGGCAAGGACGTTTGCTGGCTTAGGTCCCCTTTTACTGTCTTGCAGTTTAGACATGCAAGAACAGAGCTAAAACTCTGAACTAAACTGTTGACTTTGGTTAATGATAAAAAGGCAAACAAGACCATTTTGAGGGGACTGAACTTCAGCAGAACACCACAGAGCATGCAGCTCCTCCCTTAGCTCAATACTGTTGATCCCTGTCCCATCCCTCTCCCACTACCTGAGCTCAGCCATCTTCCCTCATCCCACCTGCTCTGGGCCAGGGCTGTCTGGAGCCTTCCCCAAGCCTGGGACCAGGCAGCCAGGCTCTCCCAACCTCCCACTCCAACACGACCCCATCCTCAGCACAGCCTTCCTCCAAGCTACAATCTTCTATTTTGACATTCTGGCAAGCAAAGTAGTTGGGGTGGAAGAACCCACCGTGCAAAAGCCAGACTGAATAGTAACTCTCTTCTCATCCCCTGCAAACAGTCCCAGATCAGGGTTCTCCAAAGTCCAGGATGCCCTCTCCTCCATGAGCAGCCCTGCTTCTCCTCTCCTTTCAGCTTCTCCCCATTCCTCTCTCTCACACTTCCCTCTCTTCATTCAGTGGGCAGATAAAACCAATGTACCTCATTGTGGAGCTGTGTTCAGATGAAAAACTTCTTCCTGCTTCTCAATAATTTTTCTGACAGCGATCATACGGTGATAGGCATTACCTCCTTACGTTCTTTTTCTGTGACTAGCCTGGAGAAGAGAAGGCTCCGAGGAGATCTTATAGCAGTCTTCCAGTACTTATAGGAGGCCTACAGGAAAGCTGGAGAGGAGCTTTTTACAAGGGTGTATAGTGATAGGACAAGGGGCAATGGCTTTAAACTGAAAGAGGGGAGATTTAGATGAGATCGAAGGAAGAAATTTTTTACTTTGAGGGTGATGGAAAAACTGGAACAGGTTGCCCAGAGAAGTTGTGGCTGCCCCACCCCTGGAAGTGTTCAAGGCCAGGTTGGATGGGGCTTTGAGCAACCTGGTGTAGTGGAAGGTGTCTCTGTCCATGGCAGGGGGGTTAGAACCAGATGATCTTGAAGGTCCCTTCCAATCTAAACCATTCTATGATTCTACGATTCTATAAAAAGTTACACTGCATGAAACCCCAGGAGAACAAATGGAGTCAAATGAGGTACTCTACACTTATTTTGTGACTTTGCTTTAAGACAGAAATCGCATTTCCCTAACTCCTGCCCACAGAAAAGCTGTAGTCCCTGCACTGCTGCCTGCACGCTCACCGTCAGAGGGTGCCACAGCCCTGAGCAGCCCCGCTGCTCAGCTGCCAAAACCAGGCACTTCCTGCCCGAGTACAGCTCTGGTTCAGGCAGCCACTGCTCTGTGGGTGACATTCGGCAATGCCAAGGCAAACGGAGCCAAAATGAAATAAACCGACCAACTGCAAGCCTATTAGTCACACAGGAGTGCTGCTCCAACTGCAAAACTCTTTGCTTCCATAAGAATTCATTAAAAATCTAAGTTTCGACGTTGCTGTAGAGATTCCAGAGAGGCAAAATATCTGGCACCATCTCAACAGCATGAGTGCACGTACATGCAACCATAACATACGAGTCACTCCGGAATTAGAAGACGTTTTTCTGTACCTACGTTGCACCCCGGTTAAAATTAAGAGACAAGCCAGATGGGTGGCAGAGAAAGGGCTCTGCAGGGCTATGGATGAAAGCACCATCTACCTGCAGAGCTGCTATAGATACCGGG